TTCAGTTGGGACACCCACTCAGGCCCTGGAACATGCCACTAGTCTGTTGTTTACCCAAGGTAAAGCAGAACCGGCCCCCAGCATACCAGCAGAACTTAACTGAAGTGGGTTTATACCTGAAAAGCTACCTGTTAGAGGTGAGCTGGCAGGACGGAGCAGCCCCAGCCTCTGTTGCTTCAGCCCTGATTGCCCAGGTAATGGGGCCGTAGAGGGAGTCTGCCCTGACGTTTTATATTGAGCGAACTTGGTAGACTCCCAACCTGACACTGGGAGGCATAGAAGTAAAATCGTGGCTGAGGAGGAACCATTCCTCCTAATGATTCCAAGTGGCCCAAGCCCAGGAAGCTTCTGGTTTACAGGAGCAGTCTGTGATTGAGCTGTCCACTGGTGCCCAGAGCCTTTGTCAACCTGACTCTTCTCTCTCTCTCTTTGTTTTCTCTCTGTGCTCCTGGTCCCCACCCCACCCAGATGGAGCATGGCACGAAGCAACAACTTCTTCTTCCTTCTCATTCTTCTGGGTATGGCACTCCCCATGCCTTGTTTTTCTCTTAATGGAAAGTCAGAGAAACCTAATGGTGCCTAGTTTTCTAACCCCTGGGAGAAGACCTGCTATGTGGAGAACCTGCCTCAGGGAGGGAAGCTAGTACCTAAATCTAGGAGCAGATCTCTTTATTGCCAATGGCATTTTGCTTATGACCTGTTGGTAAAATCCAGCAGCCCTCTGCCTACACACACCCCCCAAAAGAAAAGGCAAAGGAGTTGGAGCAAGAGAGAGAGAATCTGCTAAATAATAGACCAATGGATGTGAGCACTCCTCTTGGCAAGAACTGCAGCCCATGGTGCTGTTGATTGGCGATGACTTTGCCCCGTCTTCTTCTTTGTTGCCCAGGCACTAAACCAGTTTAGTGCTTCTTGCTGTGTGCAATTAAAGCACCAAGATGTGAGGTGTGTGGACTGTGAGGCCTTGTTGTGAGATGAGGTGAGAGCATCCGGAACAAAATGATCATTACAGGCCATTCATGTCGACAACATTTATACCTCTGTGTTTGCTTGCAAGCGAAAGCAGGAGCTAATTTGCAAGGCTGCCTTTGTAGAGCTGCCTTTTGATCAATGATTGCCTGTGTTAATGTTTCAGTAAGCTATTGATTTCTGCAACAGCTTTTGTTCCCTGAATTTATGTGCACCGGGTCTCTGCAGCACACACTATGCATGTTTGATTCAAGTTCAGTTGACTTCATTCCTGGTGAGGCCTCGAGCTGCTTCGCTCCCTATTTGTAGAACCAAAGCTTTCCCCGACATGTTCTTTTGTTTGTGCTCAAGACCTAGCCACCCATGCAGTCCCCGGTATGCTGTTTCTAATCCTCCTAGATTTGCTCCATTCCAATGTTTAATCTCTTCATAGACATTACAGTGGTTGAGAGGCAGCTAATAAAACCTGGCCTGGAATTCTTTTTTAGTCAACTTCATTGATGTATAATTGTTATGCATACCATCTATACCATAAAAATGCACCCACTTTAAGTGCATAATTCAGTGAATTTTGACAATTGTATATATCTGTGTAAATAACACCACAGTCAGTTTATAGAATATTCTCATCACCCCAAAGGTTTCCTCATGTCCTCTTACAGTTTCTCTACTCACCGGACTACAGGCAACCGTTAATTTGCTTTTTGTGATGATAGATTGGCCTTTTCTAGAATGGAATCATACAGCCTGCACTCTGTTGTGTCTGGCTGCTTTCATTCAACATGATGTTTTTGAGATTCATCCAAATGATTGCGTGTAGCGATAGTTTCTTCCTTTCTCCTACCAAGTAGTATTCTAGTGTATGGGTGTGCCGTGTTGTATGTATCCATCCTCCTGTTGAGGGGCCTTTGGATTGTTTCCAGTTTTGGGCTGCTAAGAATAAGGTTTCTATGAACATTTGTGTAAAAGTCTTTGTGTGAGCATATGTTTTTGTTTCTTTTGGAGTGGAATCACTTGCTGGGTCATATGGTAAATGTTTGTTTCGCTTTGTAAGAACTGCCAGTTTGACAAAGTGCTTTGACCATTTTACGTTCCCACCAGTAGGGTATGAGAATTCTAGTCACTCACCCATCTTCCTGAATTTTGAAATTTATATTTTTCATTTTCTCATCAACTAATTTTAGACCTATAGAGAAGGGTCCTTCTGGCTCAGTCATTTTGATCCTTGATACTCAGATTATAGAATCTGTTCTGGACTCCTTATTCTTCTTTAAAAGCTGTTACTTAAGTGTTGACAAAAAGTTGATGTTTGTTTCAATATCTGGTTTCTTTTTCATGTCCTGATTTTCATATATACTCGAGGAGGACACACTGTAAGAGTAAAGGTTTAAAGTTGTGAACCTGGGCTTTTCCTGAGCGTTTTTTCTGTATGGTATCTGGAATTGGACCAGTCTTGTAACCCTACTGAACTCTGGCTTCCTCTATTTTAATCTGCAAGTTATGCCATCTTTTGAAACCATTTTAAACTCTTTTACAACATTAATATTTGAGACATAGAAATAGTCTCTTGTAATGGTGTGAGGCACTGTCATGTTGTGGGCCAGTGCTATGTAGAAATGTCAGGGTGGCTGCTTTGTAAGAGCCTGCAAGTAAGACAGGTTTCGCAGAGAGCCTAGGAGCACTTCCCGCCCAGTTTTCTCTTCCATTTTTGTTTCCTTCCGTCTCCCATAGCTTTTACATTTCCTCTTACATTCCAGGCCTCTGTGATCCTAAAGCCCCTTTAGCCCCTAAAACACCTTCGGCTAAAGGAGGAGGTGGGTGGAACCACTTTGGGTTTTCTCATTCTTCTTTCCAGCTTTGTGACTGGGCTGTGATTTACTATACCATCTGCCCTTTTGAACTGATGAAGCACGCCACTCTAACAAAAGTATTTGAAGGATGACAGTGACCTGCCTTGGCTTCTGTTCTGTATTTTCTCTTAGGAAAACCAGAGCTAGGTGAGTTTTATGTCAGCACAGATCTCTTAATCCCCTAGTGGATTTATGAGTTTATTCCCTCCAGCCAGCCAACACCAAAAGATCAGTATTAGAGAAAAGACTTGCCAGGTTAGGGAGGTAGAAAGTAAAAAGGTGGGAGCCAGGAGGTTCTCGGACCATGGCCTTAGGGGCTCAGGATGCTCCAGTCACCACAGGGACAATTCTAGCCTACATTTGTGGAATAACATGTGATAGACAAGTCAGAACTCCAATGGCAGTTCCTACATTTTCCCTTATTGTTCAGTTACCTTTTCATGGAACTGAAAAGGGAGTGCAGTGGATGGGCGCACGTGCGGGCATGTGTGTGCTTGTCTGCGGTGGCTGGCTCCTGGCCTCCTTGGCCTGGGGTCGTGCTTCATCTTTAAGTATTGGCAATCACTAGTATTTTGTTAAGTGGTGCTTGGAAAGACTGAAATACATCCACAGCTCCAAGAGATACATGGTATAGCAGGCTTATGGAAGCCAGTCAGAAGTTCCTCTGAATCACAGCCCTCCTTTAGGGATTTGATGACAGCTGTGTTCGTACCTCTTAGAAATGCACAGACATAGAATCCAACTCTGAGTAGTGAAAACTCAGCTCACATGCATTACCTGCTTTACAGAAGCCATGTCCCCACCTAAAATCTACCCTCTTTACTGCTTACTTGTCATCGTGTTCCAAGGCTGTTGCTTCTGGGAGGTTTTTAATGAAACCTCGTCTGATTGGGACTCTGTCAGTTGCACAAGTTTGTCATATGGTATCTGCACTTCTTTGTCTATTTTAGTCTCCCCAACACAGGTCTTTCCAGCTAGATATCAGGTCACTGGAGAACAAAATCTTTGCTTCTTTCTTTCTTGTCTTCTCATTCACAAGGCAGTGAGCCTTCTGTGAGACAAAGTGGCGCTCCGTCCAAGTACCTCCCACCTTGGGATGTGGGATCCCCCCAGGGTGACTTCCCAGGATACGATAGTCTGTCCCAAGTTGACTTTCTACAATGTTGATTTAATTAGAGAAGATCAATGTGATCTAGGCTCTCTCACGACTTCAAGAGGTAGAGATGCTTTATCTTGGGATATTTGTTTTAGGAAATTAGTCTCTTGTCAACCAGGGTTAGCTGAACATGCCATTCACCCATTCGTGTGTTCAGCATGCCTGCTGAGCCGCTGGTGGGGGGGGGGGTGCCAAAATCCCCCCCTTTTTTTAAGTTGCATTTGGGCTCATGTCCTCTTGCTATATTTTTTTAAAAGATGTCTTGCCTCCCTTTCTCCTGGGCCATGAAAAGAGTAGTTCCTTTGCCTTAAAGACTGACCTTATGACATGTGGCATTTCATCTTTACATCAACACCACTTTTAGTCTTTCTTTGTCAAGCCCCAGTCATTGCCTTTAGGACTTGTGCCAGCTTGTCTCGGTGTAGACATCCAGATTCGGGGTGAGGCTGTAGAGCAGTGTTCTTGGGTTTGGGGTCTCTGTTCTTGACCTTCTGCCTGGCGCTAGTTCCCAACCACCTTGGTTGTTTCTGGAGTAGTCTAACTGGCTAGGCATTTCCTTGTCACACTTGTGTGATTTCACTGGAATGCTGTGAAGAAAACATCCTCTGTGCACGCGTGTGCATGCATGCGCGCGTGCACACACACACACACACACAGCTAAAGGGCAGGAATTTTCCCCTCTGTTGATTGTTTATTGATGCACCTCCAGTTGCTTAGACCAGTGGTGGCGCCTCACACATAGTAGGCACCCAACAAGTGCTTGCTGAATCAATGACTGTTCTAGCGTCTAGAAGGTATGCTCAGCAGGGCGAAGAGACAGGCACATTCAGGTAGCTCAGTGGGTGTGTCTTGAGCAAGCCTGGTTCTCCTCATGACTCCAGGAGCAACCTATTCTTTGTACTTGGCTCCAGTGCAGCTATTATAAACCCAGCTTCTGCTGCCAGCTGCAGAGTGTGTGCTGGGGGACAGGGAAAAGCCAAACCCCTCTGGACACTGCCCTCACAGCTAGCCCTTCTTTCTTGCAGGGGGAACTAATCACCTTCTATTACTACTGGAAAAAAACCCCTGAAGCAGCCAGCTCCCGGGCCCACCGCAGGCACCGCAGGCAGGCGGTATTCAGGAGGATTAAGACTCGCACTGCATCCACACCCGTCAACACGCCCTCCAGACCCCCCTCCAGTGAATTCTGTAAGTGGGGGACTTTCATATGCAGCCACACACTGTGTGTCCCAGCTCTGGGCCTGCACTCACAGACGTTCTTGTCACAGTGTGGGCTGGAGCTGATGACCCAGGGAATTGTGTGTGTTGTGCCTGTGTGCCTGTGGGCATGTGTGTGAAGCCTGACCTAACTGTAGTGCTGACTTTAGGGATCTGGTAGGGAGAGTTTTACAAACTGTTTGTACATTCAGATTTTTCTAATAAACTCAACATCATTGTCATTTTTTACAAAAATGTAAGTCTTGGCCTTAGCCTCAGGTGTTGTGGATAACTTCAGAGTTTTTCCATCTAGTGGATGATGTGCTGTTTGAGTTCTCATTGCACTTGTATCGTGGCGGCAATGAGATCAGATTCACATTTTCTTCCTTCCCCTGCTTTACCAAGGTCTTCCTCTTGGTCCTGGTGCAACGTACAATCTAATATGACAACGAAGCCTACACCTTGTTAACTCCTAAAAACTAGAATGCAACAATAGTGCCTTGCGGTTCTGTCCTGGCCTGGGGCATTTGACCAGAAGGTCACTTATATTGCACATGCAAATAAGAAATAATCTAGCAGGGCTGGCAGGGGTAGGATTCGATGGGGAGGGAATTCCTCAGGATGCCTGGACGAGTCAGGGGGAGCATCATGGATGCATTTTACCCTGTTCAAATTCACTGGTGTAGGCATCAGTGCTGGCCACCCCAGGATTCAGGTATGACATCAGCCCCCCAAAATCTGGCAAGGAAGGCCCTTGGGTACCACCCCTCACACACAAGTTTTTCATTCTGATGACTGGCCCTGAGGAATTCAGAGTGGTCGTTTGTGAATACTGTCCCACCTTAGCCTACTGGGCCACTCTGACTCGTGGTTCAGAACCTAGGGCAGATCAGAAATCACAAGTGGTCCTGGTCTTAGCCAAGCATGATGATGTCTCTTCTACCCCTGTTGTGTGCCCTCCATGCCCAGTGGATCTGAGTTCAGCCAGCGAGGATGACTTCGACAGTGAGGACAGCGAGCAGGAGCTGAAGGGATACGCCTGCCGCCACTGCTTCACCACCAGTAAGTAGGGCTGGGTGGGGCAGTGGGGGCCTTCACTGGAGCAGGCCAGGCTCAGACACTTGCAGGTTCAGAACATTTCATGAATCAAATTGGAGACCTGCCAAGGTAGTAATTGATTTGACATTTGCATTGTGTTTCAGGGTTACTTGAAAAAGCTGAAAATCTTTATTTTACTACACTCCCCTGTTTAGTAGTCAGTTTGGAGTACCGACCAGTGCATAGGACACACTTGTTCAAGGTCAGGGTGGGTGGGTGGTGCCTGTGTTTTTCCTGGGAGCCTGCTGGGTACCCCGAGATGAGGTAGGGTAGTTGATATTCCTGAAATCCTCTCTCACCCTGGGAGAGAGCAGGGTAGCACCAGCACCTGAGCTGTCCAAGTGACAGGTGTGTCTGTCTGAGCCCAGTGCTGCATGGTTCTTATGGCACCAGGGTCAACTGAGCCCACAGAAGGGCCCCCTGCTCAGATGTCCCCAAGGACGTTGGTTTTCTAGGTTGACCCCCCACCCCCACCCCAACCCCACTTACCTCATGCAGCCTCCAAAGACTGGCACCACGGAGGCCGAGAGAACATCCTGCTCTGCACAGACTGCCGCATCCACTTCAAGAAATACGGCGAGCTTCCGCCCATCGAGAAGCCTGTGGACCCCCCACCATTTATGTTCAAACCTGTCAAAGAGGAAGACGATGGGCTCAGTGGGAAACATAGCATGAGGACGCGGCGGAGTCGTGGCTCGGTGAGTCCCCACAGCCAGCAACCTGAGCCTCTGGCAGCCCTGACTACTTCTCCAGGTTACTAGGATGCTGGGGTCTGTGCCCACCAGGAGGAAGACAGGAAGTGTTTCATTTTAGGTAAAGAAGCAGACCCCTTGAGGTGAAATGAGAGGCCCAAAGGCATTAGTTTTGCCTCTGGGGCTGGGAAGAGCCCTCTGTTCTCTCCTGCCCTCACATTTTCCTTGGGGAGTCAGTGAGGTGCATTGGTCTTGGTTTCTGGCTCAGTGCAGGCTCTCCAAGTCCTTTACACCTTCCTCTGGCACGTGGGCTTGTCACTTCTAGTGTGGCATATCTCTGCTATTTAAAACTTGCAGGCTTTTTTAAAAATATTTGATCCAGTTTTGAAAACTTCAGGTACATTTTTCTACTCGCTTTACAGCCCCTTCCATACAGAAACTGTTTCCCAGGTTGGAAATGTAGCAGGGACCTTTGAGAGTGAATGTTTTCCCAGGCTGGGGGCTGAGGATACCGCTAGGGTCTGTCCCTGTAGTGTTGGCCTCCCCAGTGGCCCTTTAGGCAGGTGGGTGGCACCGTTAACCTTCCTCTGACCCGACCATCGTGTCAAGGCTGCTGTTGTCCTGGCTGCCTGGCCGCTGCTCGCTCAGAGGGGAGCAGATGGGCCAGTGTGAATCATTGTACCCTTGTCTCTTCTGAGCCCCTGTGGCTTTGCACAAACATGTCGAAGTGCTTGGTGGTTGTAGGAGCTGAGCTTCATTATTTGACAGCTCGTTTCTTTAGGTCATTTCCCATCCTGTCAGATGAAATCAGCAAGGGTTTGGTTTGGTTGGATTGGGAGAGTGGGCAGTTAGATGGAATAAACAGAAAGGGTGAGGTGATTTAAAGCTGATCTTGTGTGTAATTGCTCTGGAGAACTTGGCAGAGTAGACTGCCCTTGCTGACTTCTTCCCCTCAGAGAGCCTCGCTCGTTTCCAGCACACGCCATTCAGGACAGTCCCTGGAGATGAGTGCTTTGGGTTAAGTTGTGAATCTCTCTCTTTTCCATGTGAACCCACCCAATCATCCCCTCCTCCCTTAGCTCCATATTGACCCCGTGCAGCGAGGGACAGCCAGGGGTGCCTGTTGTCTGTCGGGCTGGGATTTGCCACGAGGCTGGCAGTTGGTGTCTGGCTCCTGTGTGTGTGCTGGGCTCAGGTGGCCCAGGTGGGGACTGGGGTCCAGTCTCACCAGCGCCTGGTTTGGGTGGGCAGATGTCTACACTGCGCAGTGGTCGAAAGAAGCAGCCAGCCAGCCCTGATGGTCGCACCTCGCCCATCAGTGAAGACATTCGCTCCAGTGGCCGGAACTCCCCCAGCGCTGCCAGCACTTCCAGCAATGACAGTAAAGCAGAGACAGTGAAGAAGTCAGCCAAGGTGAGGTGCTGGGGGTGGGTAGTGGGGCTCCTCGGCCCCACCCTCCCATTAAAACCTGGGCTGCTGGAGTTGGTATTCAGCTTCCTCAGACATGGGTCCGCAGGTTGTTTGTGGAGCCTCTTGGGACCCCAGCATTGCCCTGGCCTAGCGACCAGACTGCGGCCTGGAGGAAGGGGGTCCAGCATAGCTCCCAGCACTGACCTTTCGGGGCTTCCTCTGCCTCGAGTTTCCCGAGGCCTCAGAGGCAGAAGGTGGAGGGTGATTGGAAAGGCTCCCTCCCCTCAAAGCCAAGTTAATCCCATCCCCAGACACTTGTTCCTTCCTGGCCCCAGCTGGCCCCTTCCAGAGCTGTCTTGCTGCTGGAGATGGAGCTCAGAATGTGGGAGTAAGATGTCGGCAAACAGTCATCATTTCCTCCTTGAGGCTGATGGGACGTCTTCCCTTGGCCTGATGCTCCTTGTGGGCTTTCCCACTGCAGAAGGTGAAGGAGGAAGCCTCGTCCCCTCTTAAGAGTACCAAGCGCCAGCGAGAGAAGGTGGCCTCTGATACAGAGGAGGCTGACAGGACGAGCTCCAAGAAGACAAAAACCCAGGTAAGGTGTACAGTTGAGCCAGGTTGACTATAGCTGAGCCACGTTGACTACAGCTGGCAGCTAGTGTCCCTTGAGAAGCCCGCAGCCCACATTCTCCCTGGGAGGTGGCCTGAGGTTACTGGTCATCTGCACACATCTTTGTCATCTGCCAGGCACTAGCAACCAGAGGGCAGAGAGAACCCCAGCTCTCCTAGAGATTCCATCCCTCCCTTCTCTGACCCTAGGAGATCAGCCGGCCCAACTCGCCATCCGAAGGCGAGGGAGAGAGTTCGGACAGCCGCAGTGTCAACGATGAGGGCAGCAGTGACCCCAAAGACATCGACCAGGACAATCGCAGCACGTCCCCCAGCATCCCCAGCCCCCAGGACAACGAGAGTGACTCGGACTCTTCTGCCCAGCAGCAGATGCTGCAGGCTCAGCCCTCAACCTTGCAGGCTCCCAGTGGGGCTGCTCCAGCTCCCTCTGCCGCCCCGCCAGGAACCCCCCAGCTTCCCACACCAGGGCCCACACCCTCTGCCACCGCAGTCCCTCCGCAGGGCTCCCCCTCGGTCTCCCAGCCCCCCAACCAGCCGCAGGCTCCCACGGCTCCTGTTCCCCATGCCCATATCCAGCAGGCACCTTCCCTGCACCCCCAGCGGCTGCCCTCACCACATCCCCCACTGCAGCCTCTGACCGGGCCGGCTGGCCAGGCCTCTGCCCCGCCTCATACCCAACCCCCACTGCATAGTCAGGCTCCCCCTGGCCCTCACAGCCTCCAGGCTGGGCCCATGCTGCAGCACCCAGGTCCCCCTCAGCCTTTTGGCCTCCCTCCCCAGGCCTCCCAGGCAGCAGCTCATCCTCACACCTCCCTGCAGCCTCCAGCCTCTCAGTCAGCATTGCAGCCCCAGCAGCCCCCACGGGAGCAGCCCCTGCCACCAGCACCCTTGGCCATGCCACACATCAAGCCCCCACCCACCACACCCATCCCCCAGCTGCCGGCACCACAGGCCCACAAGCACCCACCTCACCTCTCAGGGCCCTCACCCTTCTCCATGAATGCCAACCTCCCACCCCCTCCAGCACTGAAGCCCCTGAGCTCCCTGTCTACACACCATCCCCCGTCGGCCCACCCCCCACCCCTGCAGCTGATGCCTCAGAGCCAGCCACTGCCCTCCTCCCCCGCCCAGCCTCCTGTGCTGACCCAGACCCAGAGCTTGCCCCCTGCTGCTGCCTCCCATCCCCCGACAGGCCTCCACCAGGTGGCCCCCCAGCCCCCATTCGCCCAGCACCCCTTTGTCCCTGGGGGCCCTCCTCCTATCACCCCTCCAACCTGCCCCTCCACCTCCACCCCACCTGCGGGACCCGGCCCCTCGGCCCAGCCACCTTGCTCTGCTGCTGTTTCTTCGGGAGGCAGCGTACCTGGGGGGGCAGCCTGCCCGCTCCCTACTGTCCAGATCAAGGAAGAGGCTCTGGATGATACTGAGGAGCCTGAGAGCCCCCCTCCTCCACCTAGGAGCCCATCCCCGGAGCCCACTGTGGTGGACACCCCCAGCCATGCCAGCCAGTCAGCCAGGTATTGGTCCCCAGGAGTCTGGGCACAGCTGGGGCAGGATAGGCTGGGCTGCTGGGGGCTGGCTGAGGCCTCAGCAAGGGCCCCCAGCAAGTGATGCGGCCTTTCTTAGGTTCTACAAACACCTGGACCGGGGTTACAACTCGTGTGCACGGACAGACCTGTACTTCATGCCTCTGGCGGGATCCAAACTTGCCAAGAAGAGGGAGGAGGCCATTGAGAAGGCCAAACGGGAGGCCGAGCAGAAAGCGCGGGAGGAGCGCGAGCGCGAGAAGGAGAAAGAAAAGGAGCGCGAGCGCGAGCGGGAGCGGGAGCGGGAGGCAGAGCGAGCAACCGTGAGTGCTTGGCGGGCTGGCGGGCAGTGGGCGGCCTCTGTGTGCAGGGGGGTGCCGCTGGCCACGCCAGGCCTGGAGACACTCGCACCGCCCAGCTTTGTGCAACACTGCCTGGTTCATTTTCACGGCAGCCGGAGGGTCAGGTGCAGTTTCAGCCCCATTTGCAGGCTTTTCTGAGAGTGCTGCTCATCCTTGAGCCACTGGTACAACTCATACCCACTGGATCCAGCCTGGACCCTCCCGCTTTCCCATATGCTCACCATGCGCCCCCTCCCTTGGCCCTGGCAGGTTCAGGCTGATTCACAGCATCAGTGTGGCCTCAAGGAGAGGGCCTGTCCTTGCACTGCAGACCTCTAGACCTGAAGGGACCAAAGAGAAGCTAAAGGGGAGGAGAACCAGGTCATATCGCTCCCCCCGGCAACCCTGGTCTGTGGCAATCTCCTCGGCCGAGTCACCCCCACTAACTCTCTCACAGACACACACACACCCCCACATGTATTACCTTGGTCTCACAGAGACACAGGCGCATCTAGGGCACAAGGGATGCCGCAGGCACAAAGGAGACAGTCACAGCAGGGTCTGGACCACATCCCTGTGCCAGGCCCTCACCTGTCCTGGACCATGGCTGGGGCCTGGTCTCAGTGTTGGGGTGGAGGGACCAAGTTGGCTGGTCAGGTGCAGTATGGCAGCAAGGCAGGGCTCACTTCACAAAGTGAGCACCGAGCTCAGCCCTCTGGGCAGCTGGGCATCCATCCTTCACACCTTCCTTTCCTTCAGCAGAAGGCGTCCAGCTCAGCACATGAAGGCCGCCTCAGCGATCCCCAGCTCACTGGCCCTGGCCACATGCGGCCATCCTTTGAGCCACCACCAACTACCATTGCTGCTGTGCCCCCATACATCGGGCCCGACACGCCTGCCCTTCGGACTCTGAGCGAGTACGCTCGGCCCCACGTCATGTCACCCACCAACCGCAACCACCCCTTCTACATGCCCCTCAACCCCACTGACCCCTTGCTGGCCTATCACATGCCTGGCCTCTACAACGTAGACCCCACCATCCGGGAGCGAGAGCTCCGGGAGCGCGAGATCCGGGAGCGGGAGATCCGGGAGCGTGAGTTGCGGGAGAGGATGAAGCCAGGCTTTGAGGTGAAGCCCCCAGAGCTGGACCCGCTGCACCCAGCCACCAACCCCATGGAGCATTTCGCCCGGCACAGCGCCCTCACCATCCCCCCAACTGCGGGCCCCCACCCTTTTGCTTCTTTCCACCCGGGCCTGAACCCCTTGGAGAGGGAGAGACTGGCCCTGGCGGGCCCCCAGCTACGGCCTGAAATGAGCTACCCTGATAGACTGGCAGCTGAGCGGATCCATGCTGAGCGCATGGCGTCGCTGACCAGCGATCCCCTGGCCCGACTGCAGATGTTCAATGTGACCCCACACCATCACCAGCACTCACATATTCACTCGCACCTCCACCTCCACCAGCAGGACCCCCTCCACCAAGGTGGGTGCCCCCAGATGGGCTCTGAGAGGGCACTTTGGGTTGGGTTCTGGTGTGAAGGTGGTTTGGGTCAGAGGTGAAGCTGCTGTCCAAGAGCAGAGATTGTTCTTTTCTGGACAAATCCCTAATTCCTGGCTGATCTTAGAATATTCAGCATCCACCTGGGAATCATCTTGTTGCTTTCCTCACAGACAGCTTTTGTCTCTGCTCAGCCCTCAGCTCTCCAGAGCTGCAGGTCCCCAGAGAGCTGAGTCATCCTGGGGCCTTCTGTTTGCGGCCTCCTAGCTACAGCTTAGGTTCTTGGCCCTGTGCCTGGTCTGGGCAGGGTGGAAGGAAGCGGCCTGTGCTTACTGGGGCAGATTGAGGGCAGGAAACAGGGCCTGTGGAGCCAGGTGAAGGCACCTGGGACACTGAGGGAGGCTATAGGTTGTCACTGAGTCAGAACTTAACAGTCCTCCATTCCCCCTTAAGGAACAGGGTTTGGGCCTCTGCTGGCTTTGAGCTGGCTCTCCTGACCAGGGCCACCCAGTTCCGTTCACTCGCTTGGGAACAAGAGCTCCTGAAGGCCTGCTGACTGGCCAGCTGGAGTGAAGCTGGTCTGAGGCGGAGGCAGGCTCAGGTGGAGGCCCCTCTGCCCTGCACAGGTCTGCAGACGGGATAGACGGGGTGGGAGGACGGTCTGGCCTTGCTGTTGCGTAGGCAGTTGAGCCTGCACTCTGGGACCAGGACCTGCTGTGGAGGTCCCGTGGCGCAGCCCACGTGCAGGACTTCCCTGTGGGCAGACCTCCATGCTGGGGAGGACAGCTGATGGAGCAGTGCCCCGGGGGAGGGAGGGCAGTACCTACCCGTGTACGCAGCCCTGACGCGGGGAGCCTGGACTCTCTCCAGGCAGATGGTTCTGGGGAAGCCAAGGAGCCATCACATTCACCCTGCGATCCTGACACCTGGAACTCTGATGCCACCTGGCGTGGGCCTTTTAAAAAGCCCTGGTGTAACCAGCAGATGCGCCTTAGTGCCGTCTGAGGACAGGCAGTCATTTGCTCACTTGTTTATACACCATTCATTCGACAAATATTTGCTGAGCACCTCTGATGTGCCAGGCACAGTTGTAGATGCTGGCGACATCCTGTCCATGTTTACCTTCCAAATCTGGGAGGCAGTAAATAAAGGTGTCTCAGGTTGTGGAAAGTGGTCAGTGTTCTGGAGGAAAGTAAGCAGGGAGATGGAACAAGGGAGCTGGAGGCAATGTTGCAGTTATAAACAGGGCCATGGGAAAGCCTCGGCTTTCAAAAGAAGGTAACTTTTGAGCAAAGACTTGAAGTGGGTGAATGGACGAGTTTCTGGAAACCAGGGGAGTATCTCCAGGCCAGAGGGAGAGCAAGTGCAAAGGGCCTGAGGCAGGCAAGACAGTGCTAACTCAAAGGAACCAAGGGCAGCAGCCAAGCAGATGATACGCTGAAGGGAAAGCCAAGAGGTTTGCTGCCAGCATGGAGAGCAGGGATTAGTGAGCCCCTGTCCCTGCCGACAGAATGCAGCCCTGGCTGGCAGTACCTGCTCTGCTGACTTGCTTTGGGTTCTGCGGGTGAAGGGCCAGGGATGCAGCCCCGGGGAGGGAACCAGGCAGCCTGAGGCTGGGATGAGGCGCACTGACCGGGGCAGGCCTGGGGCAGTCAGCCAGGTGAGCTGTGCTGATCCACGGTCCTCAGCAAAATGGGGTGGAGGAGACTGCCTGCAGGGGGCGCTCAGGAGTGGGAGGAGGAAAAATGTAGCGAATGGTCAGCTCTTCCCTGCTTTATGGTTTTGTGGAGGTGTGTGTGGTGAGGGGACAGCCAGTTTGGGTCAGGATTATTGGCAGCCCTGGTGGCCAGGAGCCTGTGTTGAGGCAGTCAGTGGTAAACACAGCCAAGGGGGGCAGATGTCGAGAGGGCCCCAGAGCCCTGCACGTCCTGCATCTGGACTTCTACCCCTTTTTTAGGTTCAGCAGGCCCAGTTCACCCGCTGGTTGACCCCCTGACTGCTGGCCCTCACCTGGCTCGCTTTCCCTATCCCCCTGGCACCCTCCCCAACCCTCTGCTTGGACAGCCCCCCCATGAGCACGAGATGCTTCGTCATCCAGTTTTTGGTAAGAATGCACCTGGGGAAAGAAGGTCCAGTGTGAGAGTTGGGTTGGTGGTCTGTCCTGGTGTCCCCCTTCACTCATTCATTTATGTATTCAGCAAGCACTTCCTGTGTGTGGGGAGTCCACTGGGGAACAAGAGAGGCAGACTCCTGCCCTCAGAGAGCTGGCAGTGGGGGTGTTAATGGGTGACGAGAGCCAGGCTGATGATGGTGGGCAGTGAAGGAATAACAGAGGTGTGGAATTAAAATCCAGGGCTCAGGGGAGGCCTCTCCAAAGAACAAACACTAGGCTGAGGCCTGAAGCCTGAGGAGGAGGGTGTCCTCCAGACAGGGGACCCGAGGGACAGTACTTGGGGCCACTCTCTCCCCTGGGGGCCTCTGCTCTCCTCATACCTGCAGAGTAAGTAGCCCCTCCACTCAGGAGGCTCCCTCCTGACCTCTTCGCTGGCCTTGTCCTGGCTACTCCCCTGGCCTTCTTGTGTCAGAGTCTGTTTTGTGTTTGGCAGGCACCCCCTATCCCCGAGACCTGCCTGGGGCCATCCCACCCCCCATGTCGGCGGCCCACCAGCTGCAGGCCATGCATGCCCAGTCGGCCGAGCTACAGAGACTGGCCATGGAGCAGCAGTGGCTGCATGGACACCCCCACATGCATGGTGGCCACCTACCAAGTCAGGAAGATTATTACAGGTGACACGGGGATGGGCCAGGAGGGCGGAGCTGGCTGGCTGAGCCCAGGCTTTCCCCCTACCCCATCTGTGGGCCACAGCCCCAGCCCAACGGCCACCCCTCCTGACTGTGCCCTTGGCCCTCCTCCCATATTGGCAACTGCCAGACTCCTCCCATATTGGCTCTGCTGGGCCCTGGCCTCTTGGTCATAGAGGGGACTCCCATGGAGCCGTCTTGATGGGAGGGAGGTAAGGGAGGGCCAGCTGCATGGGAGGCCACTCGGGGCATCGGACCCTTGGGCTACAGGCCTGGTCCCGTCTGCCGGGCCTGATGCTGAATACTCTTTCCTGTTTCTTTTCTTTCCAGTCGACTGAAGAAAGAAGGTGACAAGCAGTTATAAGTTATTTATTTGTTAACGCTGGCTGTGGAAACCCCAATTCTTGGGGGGAGAAACAGGACTTTTTACATACAATAGGAGCTGCAAAAGCAAAAAGAATATCTTCTAAAGATTTCTTTATATATTTAAAAACCCCACAACTGAAAATGTATCAGCTTAATAGTGTTTGTTTGTAGAGAGGATTCCTTGAGACTGGTTTGGGTCTCCCATTGCATGACAGTCCCCCAGAAACTTAGTGTGTCCTGGACTGGACTGAGCATTCAGAAAACTTTCCTGCAGTCTTGGGGTTTGGCTTTAGTTTTCTTTTCCTTCCTTGATTTCTCAGTAGGTGCTAGAATCCAGTTCACACCCTTCACTGTGCGTGCAGACACACTCAGTTACGTGTGTTCCAAAACCCACAAGGTTTGCAGATACGTGGCATATGATTTTGGAATCCGAGAGCTATAATTTTAAAAAAATCTTTTATTTTAATACATTGTAGGAAATCTTCATAATTTGAGAAAGTTCTGCAGCATGGCTTTTTATGTCTGTAAATAAATAATTTTAGGACAGCCTTTTTTTTCTTCCATAAACTACTATTCTGATCTATTTTTTCCAGCCATGTCACTAATTCCTACCAGCTATCGACAGAATACAGAGTTGATTTTTTAATAAAAAGTTATATATAATTATCCCTTTAATTAAAGGGAACAGATGGGCGTTACTAATTACAAATGGGCAAAAGCTTGGGACTAGGTTTGGTCGCAGCAGTGAGCAGCCAGAGCTTTGCAGGGACAATGTTACAAACTGTTCCCTTTGTTTGGCCACTTTGATTTTGCCTCTGTCTCTTCCTAGCTTGTGTTTGGCCAGTGGTGCAGACATCTGTTAGCTTGAACCGCTTTCCTTTTGCACCAGGAGCGCAGGAGTTAAATGTCTACCTGTTGTTCTGTCTCTGCGGGATAGAAAGCACATGTTTCTGTGAGTCTGTAGATTTCCTTATAGATTTCTATGCACACACGTTTGATTATTCTGGATGAACTGCCTTTTTAAATACTCTGACAATTTCATAAACATTCTAGAAAATTCAAGAAAATGATTCCCTACAAATAACTCAGCACATATGCTTGCCAAAGGAATCTTTAGAAATCTGCCCTTTCGTGTGTGTTGTCACTTGGATCTTCTTGTGGTGAGGCCAGGCTATCCTGGCCACAGCCTGAGGCTGCTTTTGAGTGAGGGAGACCCCAGAGTTGGCCCGGTTGTAGGTAGTGGCCTGTATGTCCCCCCCCCCCCCCCGCCCCAGGAGCAGGTCTGTGCATGGTGACCCACATCAGACGGGGAAACCACGTGAGTCCCACTCTTCATCCTAGAAGAAGGGACAAGAGTTGGAGCCACAAATGTGGAAGGGGCAGGCAGGCCTCCGCCTGGGAGGTGCGCGCTGTGGGGTCAGGCCGCCTGCAGGGAGCCCGTCTCTGCTTTCTGAGCTGCTGACGTGACACACTTCCTGCAAAGCAGAGAGTGGGGAGTTCTGGGGATGTGCGCACCCGCTGATCAGGCTCTCTGCCAAGCTGCGACCTTTCCCACTCCTCTTCTCTCAGACACGTGAGGGCTGTCTCTGCTGTTGTATGTGGTGGTCATAGCCTAGAATGATCAGACAAGCTAAAAGGGCCGTGGGCCAGTGGATGTGGAATGTGTCCAGGACACGAGCCACGCAGCGGGTAGGAAAAGAGGCTGGCGCTTTGACCCAGAAACCAGCAGGTATTAGCTCAGATTTAGGTTCCAGATTCAAACCTGCGTCAGGGGCATTTCCAGTTTCTTTAAAACTGTTTGGTTTCAGTTGGGACAGATAAAGGATTATTTCATCTGTCAAAATGTTTATAGTTTTTTTTCTTTTGTTTTCTTTCATTCCATTTCTGCCTTAACTTTAGCTCCTTAGAGGGGAGGCAAGCTCAGATGAACCCTTTGTCATCAAACTTTGGCTGCATTGGCCGGAGGCATTTGTTCCCTCTGGGGTGGTGACGTGCCGTCAGGGTGGGCTTGCTCTCCTGCGGGCACTCCACGCCGCAGCTCTGCTGCCTGCAGACTCCTGCACTGATGCCCCCACCTCTTACCTGTTTTTTCCTTTTGGTAGAACACAATGCCTACCATTCAGTTAAACCTTGATCTCCTCTCTCTGTCATCCATTTTTCCAAAGAGGAGAGAGTGTGAAGTACTTTAAAGTCTGTATTTGAAAACTGTCTGAAGGCGTTTTCTTGTTAGGTTTTGGTTTTCTCCCCATATCCCAAGGCGAAGCACTGAGATTCTTCCATTTAAAAACCCACAACCTGAAACCCTCACCTGGGCAACTGCACTTGGTTCAGGAGGCCCCAGACCTTCACAGTGTCTTTGAAGCCCGACCCCTTGGTTTCCTTTTGAATTTTCCTTCCTTTTGTTTGAAGTTTGGTTTTGCTTTTCTGTGTTTTGTATGTATCTCGTTCAATGTTGTCAAGGTTGAGCTTCACGTTTCATGCAGCAGAAGCAGAGCAGAGTGTACATTCTGATTTGCTACGTTTATATATATCTTGAAGCTAAATGTATATATGAGTAGTTTGCCATGAGATAACACAGTGTAAACAGTAGACACCCAGAAATTGTGACTTCTGTGTTCTCTCCATTTGAGTATTTTGTAATTTTTTTGAAATATTTGTGGACATAAATAAAACCAAGCTACACTACAACAGCTGGGTGTTGACCAGTGGACGGTGTCTCATTCCTGGGAGTGGGTGGGATGTTGGTAGTTGCCCCTCCTAGATCCCCAGGGTGGGAAACAGGCAGAGGGAGAGTCTGATTCTCAGATGTTGCCGGCATACTGCTTACCCCCCAAAGCAGCTTCCAGAAAGATCCCTGTCTGCACTGCCTGGGAGGAAGAGTTTCTCTGGTGAGTACACTTGCCCTCTGGGGATGCTGCAACCTATTGACTGGAGGACCTCAGGACCTACAGTGGGCTTCCCAAGTAGCAGAATGGACCCTAGGAAGGTGATGGCACCAGGACCAAGAACACCCTCTCCTCCCGCCCCCCCCCAGATCCCTCTCTCCCCCTGCCATTCATCCCACACCTCTAATTTGTGGGCCCCCTCCAGGTATATATGGGCATGTAGCTCCTCCTCTGTTTAGAAGTCTGAGCCACCCACCAATACAGTGGCCTTCTGCTCCGGGCTGCTCCTCCCATCTGTCCCCTCTGCACTTCTCCCTGAGGCCTGCCAGTGGCCCTGCCCCACCTCAGCTAGAGTTGCCCTCCACATTGAGGATGCATCCTAGCCTCCTATGGGGGTCTTGCCCATTGACCATGCAGCAGGTAGTCTGCAGGGTGTGGGGGCTGGCCACAAGGGAGCAGCAGTTATCAGAACGGATTCAGGCTGTGGTTTCAGAGACTGTCAAGGGTGTTTTCCTGAAGCTTCAAGACTGTCCCTGGAAATTTGTGTGCTCACTCTTTTATCTGGGATATGGCCGTGGATTTCTAGATGTTATGGGAGATGGAGCAAGAGCAACCCAGAGCACTTAGTGGTAACTGCCCTCAAAGCAGGCAGGGACTGCCTCGTAGTAAAGGCTTGGGGAACACTGTGTGTCAGGCCCTACCTAATTTAGAGCATGAGAAAGCTTCACTAATCAGAGGGGCCTGAGTGGCACACACATCAATGGCCCTAGAGACACTGTGTCCTCCAACAGCAGGAGTCCTGCTTGGCAACTTGGGTGGTTGGGGGAATGAAGTAACCATTCCCCCTACAGACTAACCATGGGAGGCACACACTGCCTGGATGAGAAGGTGGGATGGGAGCAGCTGGGGGTACAGAGGGAAGGCTGAGTGGCTGGAGTCCAGGTGCCACCTTTGCAGATGTGTCTTACCTAAACCATGCTGTTTATGAAAATGCAGGTTTTAGGAGGCATGAATTTATGAATTACAAATTTCAAGAAAGTTAAAGGGTAGAATGTAAGATACATGGATTTATGCTGCAGAAAAGGCCCTCATCAGAGCTGTACAGGTTGCAGTAGTTTCTTAGGCATGAACAACTATGGCCGTTGTCAGCACCCTGCCGTGCACCCACGCTGAGGCAGAGGGCCTGCCGCAGTGACCTTCGGCTAGATTTGTGAGGAGGAGATGAAGGGTCTACTGTCTGGCAGCTGCACTCGGCCGGGCCCTTGCCTCTGAGCTACCCAGATGAACGCTGGGTGCCCCGCCACCCCTTGGTCTACGTGAGTGGACCTTCAGCTTGAGCATGGTGGCTCACCAGCCCCTCGGGTTCCGCTGCAGTGTGGGCTAAGAAAATGGCACTTTGCAGGGCTGGGTGCATGGGCACCGTCTTGGTAAATGTCCATGGTAAGCTCAGGTGAATAGGGACCTCACTTAGGCACCCCCTCAGTAAATCGAGGTCACTTTTCTGCAGGGTAAAAATGCACAGGAGAGATCAGCAGTGAGTTCCAGTGTAGACATGGAGTTGCAAGACCCTCCAATACCAGGACCGTGGAGCTGTACAGTTGTGGATGCAGACAGCTGACGTGTGAGGGGCAGAGCTGGAGCGCTCCTGCATGGACACCCTCACCCGGGCCAAGAGCCCCTTCCCAGGCTCAGGCCTTACAGCATACCTTCTGAGCACACGCTGAGACCTGAAGTGAGCCCTCTCGGGATTCCTGGAACTCCTGGCAGAAGGCAGGGCCTGGCGGGCGCTGGGTCACGGGAGCTGCAGTTTCAGTTGTGGGTGAAGCATTGGTCCAGGAGCAGTGCGGGCTTTACCCTGGGACTTGCCTGCCCTCACTGGGTTCTCTGTCCTGCATTTTTGGCCCTTGGAAGTCTCAGGAGGTGTCCTTTCCCTCAGAAAGCTGGGTTCCCAGCTGTCCAAGGGATCTCTGGCAGTTCAGGTTCCAGGTCCTGATTCTCTGCTCCCACTCAAGGTGGCTTCTCTAGTAGCTGTCTTTGCCATGAACACCTCCCAAGTGTTGTGTAATTGTTTCCTTTTGGCATATCAGGGACTCAGGCTGCAGAAGCTGCCCCTGCATCCACCCCAACCCAGCTCTGTGCCTGCATGGGCACCTCGGCTCCCCCTGCTCTGGACAACTCATGACTGGGCCAGATTCTAGTGTGTGGAAGGTTCTTGCTCGGTAAACATTTGCTGAATGAATGGACAAGCCCCACAGCAGAAGGCTCACTGGTGGATACCGTCCACGTGTGCTGTCGAGTCACAGGAATGAATGATCAGATAGAAGGACCTGTAGCCCCATCCAGGGACCTGGACCCACTGCTGTGCCACCTGAAATGACCCCTCTCTCCCTCAAGTTTCTCTTAACCCTGCCTCCCCCTGACTAGCTCTGCCTGCTCCAGGAGCTCACAGCTCTCTGGCTCCAGTCCTAGTTTACACCATTCTTGCAAGTTTGTGCGGGGTGGGGGGATCTGCTTTAGAACGACGGCCTCTGCTGAACCCCTAGGGCATGGACGCCCGGTGTGGTAAATTAGATTAAAGACAGTCATGCGTCACTTAACAGGGCGTACATTCTGAGAAATACGTTTTTCAGCGATTTTGTCGATGTGCAAATATCAAACCTAGATGGTTATAGCCCACTACACACCTAGGCCATAGGGTACCAATCTTCTGGGACCACTGTCATGTGTGCGGTCCATCATTGAGTGAAACATCGTTATGTGGTGCACGACTGTGGAACTTTAAGGCACTTCTTAGAAGACCCTTTCGGCCCAGGGAGGACTCCTGAGGCCAACAAGCTGTTTACGGGCCAGTGTCTTCTGTGTGCATGACCACCAGTTGTCACTCCCGGGTCCCCTTCATTCTTCTTATTCATTGCCCAGGCTCTGAACAGATTTGAAACTCGATCCTTACTGCCACTCCTGGACCTGGCCACCAGATGGCAGTGTCTACAAAACGTAGGCCCTGTCCCTCTGGGGCCACCAGACCCGGGTGACATCTGTGGCTCAGGCTGCCAGGAAAAGACAAGGTCCCCTGGGGTCAGAGATGAAGGGATGGGGTGTTCTGGCAAAGGGCAGCTGGAACAGGTCACAGCAGGGGCTGCAGTGCGGTGGGTCCAGGCTGGATGCTATGACGAGGGAAAGACTGTCTTGAGGATGGGCTCTTCTCTTTTGTTCTTGGCTATATCCCCTGTGCTGGTACATACACAGTAGGCGCTCAGTAAACATTCACTGAGTGGAAGAGGACCCCATGAAGCATCCTTGACAGCAGATAATTCCAAGCTTGATGGCCCCAGTAATCCCCCAAAAAGTCCCCCTGAGCTGCTGCTGCCCTGAGGGCCCTGTGTGCCCTGAATGTGCCCCCAACTCAGGACATCTGCCCTCTCCTCCTCTGAGTCTGCCAGGAAGAGGGTTCTCAGGTGTCCTCCGACCTGCTCACAGCCAGGATGAAGGCACGGCATGTACTGTGTGGACCCCACCAACACGCTGACAGCAGGAAGAGGGCGGGGCACCTAGCCACCCGGCAGTTGTTGGTTCTAGCATATTCCAGGGAAGCCACGGCACCAGTCCCCGTATCCTAGCCCGTGGTTAGTCCAACAGCTTAGGGAGATGGAAACCAAACTGACAAACGCTGTGGTTTCGTGACTGGCTCCCTGGGCCTGACGTCAGCGTCTTTTCTGAACGCTGTGGACCACTCTCGGAGGCAGTGGCTGTGTTCACTCCCACGAGCATCAAGGGACGGGAGTTGATTTTCAAGTCTGCTGAGGGGAATATCAGGAGTGGCTTCAAAATCTATGGCATGATCTTTTATTTTTAGTGGCCTGAGAGGGCGAGTCTCATCACGCGACCACAGCACAAAGGCTTTCTCTCCCTTTCCTTTCCTCGGAATGGGATGAGCCCAAGCAGCCCACGGCGAGGGGGGCACGGTCAGGCCAGAGGAGGGGGGGGCCACTGTCAGCCCACACGAGGGCTCATTTGCTCCAAAGACGTTAAGCAGCGTGGGGTCTGGAGGTAGTTTTCCCCAGGACAGGCATGTGACCCCGTGTGACCTGGGCCAGGCCCTGGTGTGCTTGTCACAGGGTCCAGGTTCTCCTTCCGAGTGGAGTGGGGAGGAGGAAGAGAAAAGATGTGCAGAAAGCCCCTAGTGCACGTCGCAGGACTTCAAGAACCACAAGCAGCAGCCACCGTCACCGTCATCACAGCTCGATTTTAAGTCAAGAGAGTGACTCTGAGATTAGGAAACCAAGTGGGCATGGCTCTCAGTGAGTCCTGGACCTCCAGGCTCATCCTGTGGGTGCCCCCACCACCATCGGCCGGGAAAAGGTCTGAAGGTCACAGGCAGCCTGTCGCTGCTGGCCCGAGGGCGGCCGATGCGCTGTCCACGCAGCCCACTGTCCCGAACAGCGCCTGGCTCAGAGCAGATTTTTAGGAAAGAGGCTTACAACAACCATGCCCATGTGTAAAAACGATCTTTGTTTACTTAGAAAGTTCTAGGAAGGGGGCCCAGTGTTTGACAAGCCAAACGTAAGAGGGGAGCCTCCCTATTCCTCATCTCTCTCTCAGATTTGACTATTCTGGGCAAAAACAGCCCAGACCAGGGACAGCCATCCAACACCACATTTTCTAGAAAAGCTAAAGCTCTTCTAAGCAATATAAATGTGGGGCGGACAAGTCTGGGATCCCAGAAAAAGCAGAGGACTAACAGGAGGCCCAAAGGAACTGTGTGACTTTGAAAAGTCACTGAACCTCTCTGTGCTTCATGAAGCAGA